CGCATCAGACATATGTTCAATTCGTCTTATAAATGAGGATGACATTGAATTAGATGTGTATAAATGCGCTGGAATTGTTATCACAGATAAACTAGATGAACTTCTTAATATGCCACGTAAAGCATGAAAAAATCTATAAAGATCCTAAAATAGATATAGTAAGCAATTATTATAATAATTAATTTATAATTATATTATTTCATTTCTATGTATTACAAAGTAATCCGATGTAAATAATAAATACATGAGGAGAATTAGAATGCCATGATGGTGATGCGATTGAATGTATTCCAATTCTTAACGCATTACTTTCAACACCTGTCGATGGTGCCGTCAATGAACTAAATAATAAATGAGGAATTATTAAAATTGAATCTAATATTAAAAATCAATTTAAATATATAAAAACCAAACCTAAAATTATTTTGATCAATAACTAGACGAATTTCAGATAAAAGCTTATTATACATATTTTCATCATGTAGTTCATCTGCCCATTTAGTTGCATCTATTAATGTTAGTGACGCTGAATCAATCGATGATTGTGGAATTGATTTTGTTAAATCGAAAGTATGACAAAATGGTTGTTCCTGTCGTTGAGGTTTGGTAATAGAGATTTGCTTATTCTTGAAAATTGGTGGCATAACTAAAAAGGAAAGGAAATTATTAAAATATTATTTGTAAAAAAAAAAAAAAATATTAATTAAACATATCATACCATTTTGTCTATTATTACTTTTAATTCCAGATTCAAATTTTTTCATTTCTTTATATCGCCAAGCAATTTTCATTTTATCGTCGATCTCTGTTCCATCATCCAAATCATTTGTATCATCATTCGTAATCCATGGTAATCCTTTTATAAAATTTGCTGGATCTTCCTCTGCACTGGAAAACAATACATGGTGCCCTGAAGCAATTCCTTGTGACAGAAAGTATTTAAGTAATAATTTAGAATATCCTGTATGTTTGTCTTCCTTTATTAATAATATTGTACCAATTGGTAAACCACCACCTAATATATGTATTTATAAGTGAATCGTTCGTTTGTTTAGTAGTTAGAATAATAAAATAATCGTGAAATGCAAAGAAACTGTAACGCATAATATAAAAGTCAGGTAAAGCATTGAAATGTTAGGATATCATCTAATGAAGGTACTCCAGTTGATAATAATAACTGTCCGTTATATGGAGATAGTCTTGCTCCTGGTATAGATTTCGACGTTTGTACTCTATTTTTTTTGAAAGAGCTGAAAGAACTAGAATTATTCATGGCAAACGTTTAACCAATTGATCTACTGTATTTGACCCGATAACAGATAAGATTATCTGTTATCCAATTGGTGGCCGCTATTAAAATGCATATCTGATATATAACGAAGAAAAAATTTCAAATTTGGTAACTGGTAAAATAAAATTTTTGATCAGGTACGTACGTACGTAAAAAAAAAAAAATGATGATAATAAATTTATCGAAAAAATTTATCACGATGATGATTAAATTTGTTGGCACCAGTCTGAAAAATTTATGAAGAAAAAAATTTTCTTATATACGCATTTTCTCTGAGTGAATTATAATATTTGTTATATGGTTATGAATTTTATAATGGGTGGACTAATGCTTTATCCTATCTGTTATTAAAAGTGTTAATGTCAATGCCTTAATAAAATGGTTGACTCAGACGGTACACCTTCAATTTCGGAATCAAGAATTATAGTTCTACTTATTTTTATTATCATTGTCATCCGGGTGGTCAGTGTATTCTTGCAAAAGCAAGCACAGAATGTCGCCTCAATATTGGTAAAAAATGTTACTATCGTCGTATTGGGAGATATTGGACGATCTCCAAGAATGCAATATCATGCTTTAAGCTTTGCTCAAAATGGTTGGAAAGTAGATTTAGTAGGATATGATGGTAATAATAATTCAACCATTCTTTATTGTTTTTTTTTATGTAAAACTTTTATAAACTTTTAATTTATATAGGTTCTAAACCACTTAATTCCATATCTAATAATCCAAATATCAATATTCATTATATATCTCATCCATGGCACTTACCGGATAGTTTGCCAAAACTATTTTTTTTTGTATATGCCCCGATTAAAGTCTACACACAACTTTTGTTTCTATATTGGATTTTATTTGCAAGAATAAATTCACCAAATTTCATACTTGTTCAGGTAATTTTTTTTTTTATAAATATTAAACTTTTATGTTTAAACGATCGGTGATTGATAAATTTTTATTTTTAGAATCCACCTTCAATTCCAACATTAATGATTGTTCAATTTGTTTGTTGGGCACGACAAACGAATTTGATAATCGATTGGCATAATTTTGGATACACTATTCTTGGAATTCGATTAGGTCAAGATAGTCGCTTCGTCAAACTTGCGAAATTGTTAGTTATAATAATTATTATTATTATATAATGTTAAAAACTGTGTTTATATGTTTAAAATTTTTAATTTTTAGCTATGAAAAATTATATGGTGGGCGAGCACATGCACATTTGACCGTCACTGCTGCCATGCATCGTGAATTGATGTATAAATGGGAGGTTCAGTAAGCGTTTTTCTACTTAAATGCAAATTATTTTTTATTGTAGAAGTTTAAAAAAAAACAATAATTTTTTAGAGGGGCCATATCTACTTTATACGATCGACCACAATCGCATTTTAAAAAATTGGATTTAGAAGAAATTCATGAGGTTATAAAATTGATCATAAAATTTTAAAAAAGATATTATAATTCTTTGAACTTATTATTTCTCTCCTTTTCTATTATTCTGTTCATAGTTCCTTACAAAATTTAATTTGGAAGAAATTATTTCTAAGCAATCTATTGGAGCGAATTTTCTGCCTCCATCATCTTCGACATCGACTATATTAACTACTAAACCTTCACCAACATCTCCCGCAAATTATCGCAGCGATCGTCCTATATTAATCGTTAGTAGTACAAGCTGGACGGCCGATGAGGATTTCTCAATACTATTAAACGCGGCAAAGCGATATGACCAAGTTGCAGATAAATCTTCTCAAAATACATTTCCCAAGTTGATTTTTATAATTACTGGTAAAGGTCCCTTAAGGGATAAGTACGAACGGGAAATCAGTAAAATGACGATGAAAAATGTGAGAATTGTGACAACATGGCTACTTGCAGAAGACTATCCTCTATTATTAGGCATGTATTTTCTTATAATAAAGTAATATATATATATATATATATATATATAAGATATCATTTATTTTTAATTTAAATATCACAATAGGATGTGCCGATTTGGGAATTTCTCTTCATAAATCCTCCTCGGGAATGGATCTACCAATGAAAATAGTTGATATGTTTGGATGTGGGATACCTGTTTGTGCGATTAACTTCGAATGGCGAGTATGCAATAATTGATAATATTTTATTTTCATGAATATTCAAACATTTTCATTATACTCTTTTTAGTATCGGTGAATTGGTGCAACATGGTAAAAATGGCCTTATATTTAAAAATGAGGAAGAATTGGCAAGACAACTAATTGTAAGTCTTTATAAAAATGAATATGTTTTTTTAAACTTGTTAGCATTACTAATTTTTCATAAATGCTTAGGAACTATTTAATGATTATCCTGCAAACGCGTCGAAAATCAAATTAATGCGTAAGCATGTGGACGAGTTTCAAAAGAATCGGTGGGATGCTAATTGGAATCGTGTTGTTCTACCTTTATTAAATATATAAAATAATGGAATTTTCACGTTTACCTTTTTATTATCTGATGATCCTCCATAATTTTTTTATAAACAAATTTGAAAAAAAACATTCTGATTAAGAAACAGATAGCTATACCTATTTTTTTTTTCTCTCTCGTGTAAAAACAGAATAAATTTAATACCTAATCTATCTATTTAATGAAAATTCTAATGCTATTATTGAAATCTTTTGCTGATTACCACAAGAAAGTAATGTCAAAAGGGCACATCTACAAGTTGTACAGCATATCTTGTATAAATCCATCCATCGTATTGATATTGTTTTGGTACCAATTGAAGTCTACCTAAAGAAAATTTTCGGGGTAATTCATTTTGTTGTCTTGAAAATCTCTCTACTTCACTATTGTGTTCATCTATCATTGCCTGGACAACGAGAAATTCTTTACAAGGATCAAAATAACGAACAGGATAATATACAGCATTTGCAGTTGCTTCCTGAACTATTCCACGAAGTTTTAAATCATCAAAAAATGATTGAAAAGATTTTACGTGATTTACTCGATCATCCCATAAATGAATTGAATTAACAGAAGGATGATGAAAAAGTAATTCATTTATAAATTTATATTTAAATTCTTTTGTAGTAACCTTATTGTCCTTAAACTCGAATAGTGTTTCGTGACAAATGAGTTCTTCATACTTCGTATTACCCACCTTTTGAATAATTGATGGATTATAAAATAAATTCCATTTAATAATATCTTTATCTGGTTTAAATCCCATCACGTCAAATTTTAAATCTTTTCGTTCTACCATCTCAGCGATTATATGACGAAACCCTGAATAGCCGCGTCCAGTGAGCAATACAGTTAAAGAAGTCGGTTGTTCTATCGATTGACGAACAAGTTTTACAATCTTTTTATTCCACCACCCTTCCCATCCTTGTTGTATTACTGGTTCATCAAAGCTTAATGATTTTGGATGTTGATACCATCCTTTGAAAATCATTGTATCAGCTTTAAGGTATCCAAATAACGGATCTTCCCACAATTCTCGGTTTGGCTGTGGTGACGCGAAAAGAGTACCATCAAAATCAAAAATATTGATTTTAGTTATAGTATTTCTCGATGGAATAGACGCATTAGAATTATAATTATTGGTCACTGTTATACTTGAGCTCATAGAGTTTGTCATGGTCACGATTTCTTTAGTAAGTTTAGATAAAGCAGAGTCAATTTATTTATTTCGTATTTGACAATACATAAATTTCGTTCGCTGATCTGATTGGCCGTAGCAAATTGCCGTAGCATAGGGTAAGTTTAATTTCTTTTTAAAATCAATGTTACACAAAAACTGTATTATATTTTGAAAACATCTTTCATATTTTACGTTTAAGATCCAGTTGGTCCACCAACTTATCTTAGAAACGAACACATATATTGAACTTTTAACTTTAAAACGAGAGACATGAATCAATTTTGCGCAGTATGGGTGAGACCAGATAATATCGATATTAGTTTTTAAAATTGCAACTTTCAAATATTAAGTTTTATATTTATGTAATATCTGATACGTATCTGGTATGATTAATTGTTTAAAATTGTGAAATCCTATTTAATTCTGGAGCATTTTCGAGATGTCTTTCAATTACTTGATATAATTTATAATTTTTTATTTTATTTTTTCTGTATTGAAAGTAACAAAATAAGTTTAATTTAACGAGTGATGTCAAGAGAGAACAGAATTCTAAAAAGAATAATTAATTAACAGTTAATGATAGCGAAATTTTATTGGTCAATTTGATTATTTTATTGATAGTTTTAAGGAGTCAATTTTGAAAATTGATAATCATTTCTGGATTGACTGACCGGGTTATTGCACGTATGTGGCCTCAGTTGTTAGTTGAGTTCAGTAGGTAGATGATATTTTTTTATATGTTATTATATTATTTTACTTTATTAGCTATATTAGTTTTATTATCATTTTATTACACTTTATATTTATTTTCAATTTTATTTTTAGATTTATTTTTAGATTTATTTTTATTTTGTACATACGTAGAGCAAAATTTTTCAAAGAAATAGTGTTACGTATAATATGGATTTTTAGTACGTACAGTACACGTGTCACAAGATAAAGTTTCATATGTACTATGTACTAGTGCAGATAATCCTAGTTTTTTTTTAAATATTTTGTAATAGTAGAAACAAAAGATAATCCAATATATGAAACAGCCTCACAAGTGCAAAAAGTGCTAGTATTGATCCAAGTTCAAGAGTAAATATTTATTTTTTAAACAAAATTATTTTAAATAAAGAATAATAATATTAACTATTTTTATAATAAAAGAAATGAAAATCGACATTTAAATCAATTTATTGTCATTCTGCCACATTTTTTATCTATTTAATGCTTGTTTGACGGGCTTGAATGTCTTTAAATAATAATAAAATAAATTAAAATTATATATTTTGTATTTACGTAAATAAATATAGGTATTTAAAATCTGTTGAATAAGTTTAATGAATGGCATGTATTAGCCTTTGTTACAGCCGGAAGTATCCTTACTTTAATAAAAACATTTCGGCAAAGTTTATTTTACGTAAATAATTACTCATTGACCTTTAAAAGATATCAAACTCATGCTACTACATGAAACAAAAAACGAAGAGGGTATCTGAAATTTTTTTAATGAATACGAACTCTACATTAAGGTGTGTTGATTATTTATTGCTTTTTTTTTTTTTTTATCTTAAAATATTTAAGTCAAATTAAATGATAATTTTATTCCTTAATAATTAGATGCTAATGAATCCTTTCTATGAACTTAACACACCAATCACATCAATGGCATTTGAAGCTAAAGTTCGATTTATTGCTAAAAAATATTTATAGTAAATTTAGTAAATGTCAAATTATTATGGTATTCTGGAACGTAGTATTTTGGAAATTAGTAATAGATCAATAACAATACGATTTTTTATACAAATGGGAACAGTATAAGTGTCATACTGTCAAATTTATAAACTTCCGTTTTGTTAATGATCCAGAACTTATTTCTTCATTCTTAGGTATATCATCAAAGAATTCTGCTGTATTATTGTTTTCCCAATCACGTTTAATATATTTAAGTGCCATTAAGTTATATCCCAACAAATCCTAGAGAGAAAGTGTGATTAATACATACAAAAATTGTTATATTTAATCTATTTGTTCAAGCTTTCAA